AGGCGACAATTATGTGATCAAGAGCAGCATCGGTTCGTGCATCAGTGCTTTTGTATGCATCGCTTCCTCCCCCGGACAACCGAACAGCATGGGTACTAGGTAGTCCATTCATAGCTCAGTGCGTATGGGTGTTCAACTGCTCAAACCACTCTATTGGACTTACCGCTCGAAGTCCACTGTACAAACTCGCATTGTAACTGGTACATTTATATATTATTGGATACGGACGAGAACTACCATATGAACAAATCTTTTTCAAAAGACGGTATTATTTACAATTTCATAATCTATACTCGTATTATTTGCATTTTCTGATCAACTGTGACGCGCCCTCCGAACGATTCCGTTTCAAAGCACGTTTTGAGACGTGAACTTTACTTTTATCATTATAGACTTTTTCTCATTTTTTCAAGGAGTCGATGATTCGATTCCGAATATATCTCTGCGATTTTCAACGCCAGCCAGATTGCCTTGCTCGTCATGGAGGGGAATCAGTTGTCGGCTAGACATTACTTAATCTGCTGTTCGAAATCTATCATGTGAAGTTTACCATACTCATTTTGCAATGCGTTCTAGAATCTTCTGTGGAAAAGCACACTCTTTTACGAACTATTACATATTCAGGTGTAATGTTCACAAAACGAATTAACACGTCATCGGTCGCTCGTTCGGTCTTGATTGATGAGACAGAACGGCGATTTCTCATCTACAATTTTAAAAAATCAGAAATTTAGTTATTGCTAAGATTATTTGGAAACAGCCTTCTACCCATTTTGTAGAGAAATGACTTACCTACAAACTTACGTCATTGGAAGAAAATTAAAGTTCGAGTATGGATAGTTATTAGTCCGACAGGCAACACTGACTACAGATCTTCAGGTCAGATTCATGAAAAAATAGATGATTGTTTCCAAGACACTGTCGAAAAAAAATTAAATTAGCATATACGATGTATTGTTGATGTTCTTTCTAATGATGTATTTGGAAGCTAACTTTGATCTTGCTGTTGTGGAAAAATGAGATTTACTGAATGCATGCAACGAAAAATGTGAGGCTTGTAGAAAGATTTGTGTTAGAAGGTATTTCTGGGGCCTGTTTTGAAAAAAAAGTTGAAAAAAAAAGTCCATTTTGTGGAACATTCTGCGCTCTACTGAATAGTATGTGTTTAAAAAGTTTTATACAAGGACAGAAATAGGATGAGATCATAAGGATGGAAAAGTACACATCTTATGAACGCTTCAGAACAAAACCACCGGATTATTTTACGAAAAACTGCCAAAATTCGAAATGATTGTCGAAAAGAATGGCTTTTACAGAGAATAGAGTCTAAAGTGAGGGCTATCCAACAGTGAAAATGGAAATTTTTATCTTTCTTTGTGCTGTAATAATTGAGAAATACGGAAAAAAATAGCTGTCTCAACACTTTTTTTGAATACGTAGTATTAGATGTAGTCTTATCCATCAAACAACTATTCTGCGAATAATGAAATGACGATAGAGAATATATGGTTCTGTTAATGGATTCTCACTTTGATCTCCCTTATTTTGGTCCTTGTATTGTGCGAATCAGAACATCTCATTTAAATGGAGTTATATAATTTGTAATATATTGAAAGACAAGAAAAACGTAATAAAGGCGGTATTCTTTGCCACGCACTCTCATATATAGCAATGGAAAATTCGACTAGTATTACTGTTTGACGAACTTGGTCTTGACAGCTAGACATGGTAGCCGCCAATTTTCGGCCGTCACCGCCGAGGAATTCATCGGCTAACATATCTATTGACGACTCGACCACATGCAATTGTCAGTGCAAATCTGAGAGCTCACTATTAGCATATTTTTTGAGAAGAATGAACCGATGAGGACTACGATTACTTTCGAAAATCTTTTCAAGACGTTTTGGAAAAGGCCTAAAACTCATTCTGATGTATTCGGATTTTGATTGGTCTAGAGAGACTAAATAATAAGAAGAGAATGTGTCGGAAAGAAAAAATGGAAAAGCGAAAAAAAACGCGAGAGAAAGAGAAAATATGGAAGAAAGAAAAAGCGTACACCTGAGGATATATAAGCGACAAACATTGCTTGTATCCTTACATCGGAAAAACAAACAAGACAATAGGCGTATCAAAAGGTGAGTCGTGTGTTTATTGAGGACTGCAATCCATATGCGTGCTGCAAGAAAGAATCTAATAGATACATGACTAACGACAGAAAGTAGCGATAGCTTCTCGCATCTTTTAGTACGAATAATCAGAAAGCTTAGTGAAACAACATGAGACCAAACTCTTGTTTCACTCACACACAAGTTCAGGACGAAGAATACGGAGTACAGTGGAAATTTTGGCTAGAGCAGGCGGACATATACTATTAATTCAATGATAACTTTTGATAGAAAAGAGCTAGAGACCTCTGGTCTTTGTCATACAAAAGAGGAGACTTGAAAGCACGCTTCCATAACCAACGTTGTTTCCAGAAGAGTTGAGTAAAATAGATTTTCTAGGAGATCTTCGGAAAACTAGGCCGTCTGTAAAAAATTTTCCAATAGAATTATATTACTGTTTTTTATGTACTTATAGCCCGAGGTGTTCTTTTCAAAATAGGAGTAAAGTGAGATCTTGATTTTCCGCGGTTCGGACGTTGTATCGAATTTCCTTCGAGTCCCAGGACTGGCATCCGGTGACTATTAGTAGCCTTGAAGACGGATGGAATATGGGTAATCGACCATGCTGAGCCATGTTGACCAAGTACAAAGGAACGTGATAGAACAACAAATAAACCTTATATAACGTAATTTAATTTAAGTGTATTTAATCATTTTTGTTGAAGTTTAAAGTAATAAACTTAAAAGTAACCATTATATAGATTCTAAATCTAAACCTTCTCTTCCACCAGTTGGCGAAGATGATTTTCAGTTTGGTGTTCAAACAGGAGAGAAATTCTTGGTCACTGTCTTAGTTTCCAATCGGGTTCGTCGGTAAAATCAGTTTTTCTCCGTACCGAATTTAATCAAAAAGTATAACAATATGTTCGTCGCTTTGCGCTCAATAAACAGTGAGTGCGCAACTCTTCCCAGACCGAGCTATACTTTTTCCGAAAAATCTTGGTTTTTTAGCCAGAATCCGATGGTTGATAACTGAACATCAATACGAATACAGTTCTTCAGCTTCACGTAGAACAGAGGTACCTAAACAAGTTTTCTCTCTTTGAGTGCAGAAACATGCGTGAATAAGCGTTAGTTTAAAAACAGTTATTTGCAAAAGTAGAATGTGTGTAGATAAGACTTTTAAAATGAACTTATATAAACAAGCTATTCGTAAGGAATAATGATTCGTAAAATAGTCCTTTTAAATCTTACCACAGTCATTCCCGAAATCGTCAACCCCTCCAAATAAAATAGCAAGTCACCTTTCAGTCTGATGAAGAATTTTCGCGGCTCGTCTCCGGCTCTGGGGCGAAGTAGATCGGTCTCCTCCAAGCCAAGAGGGTCGTTCAGAAAAATCTCTAAATTTTCAGTGGAAAAGGACCATTTATAAAATATAAGATTGTACACATTCCGCTTTTTCAAATTATACATTAGCTATGATGCCTCATAGCAATGAGTCATCGTTTCTTTGCATTGAAGAAACGCATTTAAGTCACATTACTGCAAAAATCTTGAAAACAACTGAAATGGATTATCTATTATTCTATTGAATAGTATTTACACCAACCCGCTTGGGTTTAATACTGGTTAGATTTTCGGCACAACCATTGCAATTGAAGAATTGTTTTATTCTCGGATGAATATCTCTCGTCGGCATAGGACATTCGTTTGTTTTTGTCGAGCGTAAGAAAGTGAATTGTTTCCATAGACAACTCCTAATGGAAAAAATATACACGGAACTAGGTATCTTCTAGAAATTTCTTTTCCACGAGTTCTTTTTTCAGTTTTGACTCAGACATAGATTCTTTTCTGACTACTTCATCGTGTAAACGCAGTCCATATTAACGATTTCATAACTGCAAAGATGTTTGCAAACTTTTATTCACCAATAAACCTGTCACAACGGTATTACAATCACGTAACAAAACAGAGTATATAGAGTATAGAGTTAAAGTAATTGTCAGTAGTCAAATAACAACATAAATGGTAAATGTTTACGGTTATTAGCTTGTCCATGTAGCTAAAAAGAATAAAAAGACTAATGAAAACGAATATCATTGTAATTCAGCTCCTCACTGTTAAGTCGGATACACTTAATGCTCTAGTCCTTTCGTTTTCTTTAGTATTTAGTTTTCTATTTTTTTGTCTTATCTCTCACATGTGTGTACGCGTGATCTTTTAGCATCATACTGACTGTAATCTACTTTTCATCTCTCTATTTTTTTTTTTCTATTTCGTCTATTTTATTTCGTTCATCTATTTTTTTCTCGTCCAGTTGTATCACTATTATTCTAGGTCTATATATTTAGACCTGGTGCAAGATGAAAGAGAAGGAGGAAGAGAAAGAGAAGAATATTCAAGCTTGTATACAAGCTTGAATATTCTTCTCTTTCTCTTTCATCTTTCAACAGGTCTATTGCATTCATCCTTAAGTTTCTCTTTCTAGTTTTTTCTTTTATATCACATGTCTTTGTTCCTTTGGATATATATATATACAAGAAATCATACATTTATATACTGTGTGTTAGACTGTTTTTAGAATAGAGTTAGTAAGTCGACGGACCAGTTAGTGGTCTCCTTACTTCTTGTTATTCTTGTTCGTGTATTTTTCATCATTATTTTAAATATACTACACATAGTGAATTGGCACTTTGTTTAGTTTAGGATACTGAGAGAATTTTCTTGTTACACTTAACTAAAGAACTCGGGTTGAGCGACTAGCAGAAGTCAAAGAAGAAATTAAGTGATGAGAAGTGGGGGCTTGGCCAAGTTGTTATAATAATTAACAAAGAATTGTTATTTTATTTCATTCAATTATTAGTGTTTCTAGCTATTTGCGAGAAACAGCAGTGTATGCTCACAAGATCAAAGGGGGATTTCAAAAATCTATCAATAGAGTGTTTACAATTACCACTATCACTTGGTTCAACTCGTTCAAAACCTTCATCTAAGCAGGACTCTCGTCAACAATCTGGAATTTTTACAAAACAATTCTCCACTCCATTATCTCCCATATCTGCTGATTTGCGTAACGAAGAACGTAAAACATCAATGGAACAACAGTTCGAGAGTGAATATCAGGATCAACTGCAGCAACTGGTTCAGGCAATAGCAACAGCAAAAGAAATTGAGGGAGAGCTTCTGGATGTGGGAAATACGGTTGAGAACACGATATATAAATACTCAGAAGAACTATCACTAACATCTACAACTGCGTTTATAAATCAGCAATCTCAACAACCTGCAGCCATAGCGGCAATAAAAACAGAATCATTTGGGAGATACAACTTAGATCAGAGCGACAAAAATTTTCAGCAGATGATTTTAAAAAATCTTAATAAATTTTCTGGATATAATGAAGATCCAAATTCATGGCTAATTTCAGTTATTAGTGTATTTGAACAGTTTAAGGTAATCCATCTACCAATCCACGTAATTTCTAGTAGCGGAGGCATCGAATGATGGTGATGTCTCCAATAGCGATATCCACAATCCATCATTAATTTTCGTCTCAGTAAACGTCAACAACAAGAGAATGAAAGTAATGATAGACACCGGAGCAACAAATACAATTATCACAAAAAATGCATTAAGAAAAACAAAACACCAGAAATTCGACAGTACAACAAACCCGATATTAGCCATGGCAGACGGAACATCCAGTTTAAAGGTTCTTGGCATGGTAGATTTGCATATTAAAGTTAATCATATGATAACAACCATAAAGGCGGCGCTATGAGAAGTTTATTTACAGGTTCTATTATCGGAACGGATTATATCAAGAGATATGGTTTGAAAGCTGATGCAGGTGAGGAAACCGTTACAATTTGTAAACAGAAACAAAGAACAACAATCCCAATGGTTAAACAAGACCAGCCCATACAATATACAATCTAAAGCAGCAGATTCCAATCTTTATGGCTAATAATCTGTTGCTCATTAAGAGACATCAAGCTAAAATCCCGATTCACAATCCAACAAGCTATCCATGCTTTTTGAAGAAAGGTATAACTCTTGGAGTATCAACATTATCAATAATAGCGAATAGAAAGTAAAATTAAACCAGAGAAAATGACTCTACAAGAACATCTGGACGATATGGTAAATAAGATAGTAAATATTGAACATCGACAAAGATTCAAGGACCTTTTCCAAGATTATAATCATTTATTTGATACATCCAAAATCACAGTTGCAGAAACAGAAGTATCTCATGTCATTAACACAAAACCGCATTCTCCACCATGTTCGAAATGTTATCCAATGAGTAAACAGAAAGAAGATGCCTTGTATGATATTCTTATGGAATTAATGAGTGCTAGTTTGATTTCAAAAGCTAAATCGCCGTATGCGGCTCCTGCATTATTAACACCGAAGTCAGACGGTACTTGGAGATTTGTGGTGGATTATAAGAAGCTAAATAATGTTACGATTAAAGATTCATTCCCATTGCCAAACATGGAACAAACTTTACAACGATTGGGCGAAGGATATCATTTTTTTACAAAGTTAGACTTGAAAAGCGGATTTTGGCAGATTCCTATCAAGAGCGAAGGTCGATTTAAGACAGCATTTATTACTCCGTTCGGTTTATATCAATTCAACGTCCTTCCGCAGGGTTTAACGAATTCACCGCCAACTTTTCCACGCGTTATGTCAACAGTATTGCAATCATGCCGTCAATTTTGTCAAGTTTATTTGGACGATATTATTATATTCTCAAGAACAGTGGAAGAACATTTAGATCATTTACAGAAAGTTTTAGAATGTTTAAATCGCAACAATTTGTAACTGAATCCACTAAAATGTTCAATAGCACAATCAAAAATTAATTATCTTGGCCACACAATTACAGCATCTGCGATTATCCCATTGAGCGATAAGATTATGCTATATTGAAATTAAAAGAAGCAAATTACTTTATTGGAGCCTTGTCTTGATATCGTAAGTTTATCCCGAGATTTGCTGAAGTTGCCGCTTCAATTCATGCAATTACAAATCTGACTAAGAAGAATCGTCACAAATTTAAGTGGAATCAGAAACAGTCTCAAGCATTTTGTGAATTAAAGAAAATGTCAACAACGGCTCCACTATTATTACAATTTCCTGACGACTCCAAACCCTTAATTTTATCGATCGATGCTTCCAATCTAGGTGCCGGTGGAGTGTTACACCAGGAAATTAATGGCGAAAGGAAAAATATCTATTATCATTCACAACTGATTTCCGAGTCTGAAAAGAATTACGACACAATCGAAAAAGAAGCTTTGGCGACCTGGAGATGTTTCCAGAGGATGAGATCGTATATTCTTGGAAAAAACATTATCATATATACTGATCATTGTCCTTTATGCGATATGATGCAAAAGAATGTAAAGAATAAGCGGGTGGATCGAATTGCATTATTATTACAAGAATATAATATCGAACAAGTCATTTATTTCAAAGGAAGACATAACTGTTTACTAGATTATATGTCAAGAAATCCAGTAGTGGATTTTGACGGTTTAATGTATAGGTCAAATATGAGCCCAAGGACGCCTAAAAGTCAACACAGTTGATGTTTTCACCATTTTACTCCCATAGATAAGAGAGGATGCAACTAGTCTTTAGTATAGAAAGATAGCTTTTGAAAATGTGATGTCCTGGTAGTTAGACCATATGGTAATGCATAAGCTGTAAAGTATGATGATATAGCATGATGTTTTCTGTCGCTCTGATTTCGTACATATATTTTCGTTCTTGTAACCGCATGTAGATTCACGCATAGATTTTAATTCGTTTTTCTTTGCTAAGTCGGACGGATACTACTATCCCTCTCTCTTCTAGTTGTCGAACAGTGTGTGAAGATTTTTTCCACATTCCTCTGTCTGTCATTTTTTGTCCTATAATGAGAAACAATTGTAAAGATTCCTGTTGCCAGAGAAGTTATCGAAATAGTATCGAAAAGATTAAGACGATATCTTGAAAAAGCTTTTCCCCTTATATTATTTGAAAATGGAATTATTTATCACAAAATATAAGAATATCTGATGATCTCTCTGTTTTTATCAAATCATTACAAAATAATTTGCAATCGTGTCCAATTAAGCATAAGTCACATTACTGGCAAAATCTTGAAAACAACTAACATTTACTATTCTAATTTTCAGTGGAAAAGGACCATTTATAAAATATAAGATAACAGTAGCAGTATTACAATCACGTAAAAAACCAAGTATATAGAGTATAGAGTTAAAGTAGTTGTCACTACTCAAAACCCAAATAAGCAAAAACTTACTGAAGACGGCCGTCATGACTAGTCCGAAATGCTCGTATATCCTGACAGGACTAGTCTGGAACATCCCTTTCGCTCGTCATGACTAATCCAGTTTTAAATAAATGCTCGAATAACCCGTCTAGGCTAGTCCAAAGAAAAAAAAGATGACATGAATAATTCAAATTCACTGTGATACTGTGAAACTAAGAAAGACTCGCTATAATACTGCGATACTATGCATTTTATAGCAATACTATGAGTTTCATAGTATCGCAGCACCATAGTATGGCTTTCATAGTTTCCCAGTAACGCAGTAATACTGTAAGTTTTATAGTATCGCAGTATCAGAGTATGATTTTCATAATTTCATAGAATCGATCTATCACACTATTACTGTAAATTTCAGAGCAGTACTATGAATAATAATACTATGATTTCATAATAAGACTATGAATTTTATAGTAATACTTGAAGTTTCGCAGTATCATCGTATGACTTTTATAGTTTCACGGTGATACACTAATACTATAAAACTCTAAAAAGTAAACTATAAAAAGTATTACTATGAAATTCACAGTATTTCTATGAAATTTCTATGAAAAATTCACAGTATTATTGTGATAGTGAGATACTGTGAAACTACGAAAGTCATACTATGATACCGCGATACTGTGAAACTCATAGTCGACGCAATAACGTCGTCTGAAAAGGTGACAGAACGCAAAAGTAACTATGTGAATAAGTGATCGTTTTATTCACTCATCTTATTTGTAACATCCATAATATTACTATGAAATTCATAGTATCGCAGTACCATAGTATGACTTTCATAGTTTCACAGTAATACTATAAAATTTAAAGTATTAATATGAAATTCGTAGTATTACTGTGATACTGTGAAACTATAAAAGTGGTACCATGATACTGCGATAGTGAAACTCATAGTATTACTACGAAATTCATAGCACTTCTATGACATTCATCGCATCGCAGTATCGTAGCACGATTTTCATAGTTTCATAGTATCGCAGTATTGCTTTGAATTCCATAGTAATACTATGAATTTCATAGCAATACTTGGAGTTTCGCAGTATCGTCGTATGACTTTCATAGTTTCACAGTGACACACTAATACTATAAAACTTTAAAAAGTATTACTATGAAATCCACAGTAATACTGTGATACTGTGAAATTCATAGCATTATTATGAAATTATAGTTTCACAGTAACACAGTAATACTGTAGAATTCAAAGTATTATTATGAAATTAATAGTGTTACTATGAAATTCCTGGTATTACTATGAAATTCGTAGTATTACGGTGTTACTGTGGAACTATGAAAGTCATACTATGATATTGTGACACTATCAAACTATAAAAGTCATACCATGAGCGTGTGATACTGTGAAACTCAAAGTATTGGTATGAAATTCATAGTATTACTATGAACTTCACAGTAATACTGTGATACTGTGAAACTATGAATTTCATAGTAAAACTATGAGTTTCATACTATCGCACTATCACAGTATTACTGTGAATTTCATAGTAATACTATGAATTTCAGTATCACAGTACGCTAAAGTTGTTTTCCTTAGTTATGAACCAATTTGGGTTTTGTGCATAGAGTGTAGGTTACGAAGTGAGACAATGATGCTATCAGCCTAGAAAAATCGCTTGGTAAAAGATTAGATTGATAGTGTGAATATGATGGCTAATGCTGCAAGTTAGATTGTATAATGTGAAGACAGTAATTTATTCATGAATTCATAAATAGAAACACTATACACCTTGGTTAAACGAACACTGTTGAATGTTTCTTAGCATTTAAAGCATAATACTGCCTTTGCAATAGTGCGTTATTTTACTTCGGACGTATCAAAAAAAAAATTAAGATCGAAAATACGTTTTATCGTTGATAATAGAGTATATCATCAAATCAGAAAATGAAATAGCAAATTTCCTTTCATCACTGGGAAGCGATTCCTAGTCAGAACAAAACATGAACATAATCACTCAACGATATTCTTGAACAGTTGAACAAGTGTTTCTTCAATTTCACAAGATTCTGCTAATGCTTCTTTCTAGCTCCACGTAAATAGCAAATAAGTATTACGTTGAAGAAGTCTAATTAATGGCAAGTTCAACGCTTAAAATAACTGAGCAACCACGAGTTGAATGGTATTGGAAATCGAATCACAATCCATGGTTGAGAAGAGAAAAGGAAGAATGGACAAAATATTCTGATATCGAATCAGAAATAATTGAAGAAGCATTTAATGGAACCACCCAACTGATTGAATTGGATAATTATTTGATCGACTTAAATGATCCAGATAGACCTATGCAAGTCAGTAAATTCGATCAAGATAAACAAAGACCAATAAAGCGAGTTTTACTCAATAGAAATGAAAATCACAGTCTAAGACAAGAAAGATTCTTCCTTGAACCGTCATTTAGCAAAACATTCAATAACGATCACGGTAGAGACGCTGTCATATTTCTAACACAATGGAAAAACGGTAAAAAACCTTCTCTTCCTGAGATAGTCGACAAAGCAGCCAAAGGAATCATTACTGAAGGAAATCATCTGGGCAAACATAGTGAATCTAAATGGATAGCGCAACGACTGAGAGGAGTGCAAAACAACGACTCTAAAGAAATCTTCAAGTGCTGCATTGAGCTATATACTAAGGAATCTTTTCTCTACAAGTTAATAAATAAAACAATGAGGGAAAACGATACGAGCAAACTCGACACCCTGGGTCCCTTTTGCTATATTTTATTTCTAAGCTGGCGACTCAATACAAAGCAGCACTGCCAGAAACTGTATCGTGGAGCGAACTTAGAGCGAAATACTATACAATCCTACGAAAGCGCAATTTGTCAGATTAGAACCTGGGATGCGTTTACATCTACAACTAAGAAAAAACAAAAAGCTGAAGCATTTGGGAATACTTTATTCGTTATCGATGCGACAAAATTCGGTGGCATAGACATATCATCTTGGTCACATTATCAAAACGAAGACGAAGTTCTACTGCCTCCATTGACCCATTTCCTAATAATCAGCGTCCACCGTGACCCCATAACCGCAAAGACAGAAATTAAACTCAAAATAATGAATCGAAAACGTCCACATGCCCAACAGCCAACCCACCCAAATCCGACGACACCTCTCAACGCACCATCTACATTCACAAACAAACTACTCAGAATCATGTACTGCCCTGCCGCAACCCCCGACATATGCAAACAATCTGATCCT